ATAAAATGTGCATTAGAAATACAGTGGACTAGAAATACTCATTTTGTCTCCCCCATCCCCACTATGTAGCCCAGGCTGTCCTCAAACCCATGGTGATCCTCCTGCTTCAGCCTCCTGAGCATTGGGATTATAGGTGTGCATCACCACGCCCAGTGTTCTGAAGCATGTGGAGGGAGTGGGTTGGTGCCATCTGTGGTGGGCGTTCATCTCTCCGTGGGGTACATGGAGGCAGCCAGCAGCCAGGGAAGGACAACCAGGTAAAGCCTGAGGCTCCTGAGTGAGAGTAGAGCGAGGAGAGATCCCCAGTGAAATCAGTGACTTGCGTGACTTGAAAATCCTTGCCTGAAGAAGCCACACAAAATAAGTGGCGTTAAGTGGCTTTTTCCACCTGGCCCAGAGTCCTGCCGTGAAAAGCTGCCTTTGCCTCTGCCTGAGAAGACTTGGTGGCTTCCCTGGACGCCTCCCGCAGCCTCAGAGGCTTCTAAATGCACATGCACACTCAACACGTATTTTTGCGTCAAGGAATCAATTTGGATTCACAGGAACATGTGAAGAAGGAAACCAGCTTACTCCGGGTGTTAGGATGCTTCAGTTACCACTTCTGTCCCAGCTGTGGGGTCAGTAACCTCCGCTGGGAGTTCCGGTATTCTGTTCCCTTTCCCCTTAATCTTACAGAGCTGTTGGAGAATGAAGAAAAGCACAGAGGAAGTAATTTGAGAAGTGATTAAAAATCATCCATAATTGCTCCAGCCATAGAAAGCAGCCCTGTGAATATTTGGGGGTGTCGATCTGTTGTTTAACTTGGGGTGCCTGTCTTCTCATTTTCTGTCTACACCCCTCACATGTGTGTCTGCATGATCTCCCATGCCGCACAGATGAACACATACGTGTGCCACACAGAACGCTTCCCTTGATTTCTTGGTTTTATTCCTGTTCACTTATTAATAGGTTTTAGGTAGAATCATTTTTACAACTTTTTTTTTTCTTTTTCTTTTTGAGACAGGGTCTCACTATGCAGTTTAGGCTGGCCTTGAGCTCACTCTGTAGCCCAGGCTGGTCTTGAACTTGCAACGATCCTCCTGCCTCAGCCTCCCGGGTGCTGGGATTACAGGCGTGCGCCACCACACCCGGCTTACAAGTGTTTTTATAAAAATACAATTTTAAACGCCTTATTGTCATTCCAGGTACATCATTACTTGTGTAACCACTTCCATGTTATAGATGTGTATATTTAGATTGTCCCAATTGCCTTTGTTTTCACAAATGAACATCTTACTCGTTGTCTTTGTGAAAATCTGAGATCATTTTTCTCCAGTTATAAGTGTGAAATGCTGTGTGTGTGTGTGTGTGTGTGTGCTGGGGATTGAACCCAAGGTATTTGTGTTGAACTACTCCCCAGCTCACTTTTCATTTCTTGTTGTGAGACAAGGTGTTGCTAAGTTGTCCGGGATGTCTCACTCTTTCGAGCTTCCTGCCTCGGCCGACCTTTTCAACTGTGACATCGTCTCATAGTGGCTCAGTCCGGTAACACAACTGGTCATCCCTTTGCTAACCCTTCTGTTATTATTTTCTAAAATTGTAATCAATTTTGATAAATAATTTACACTTCTCTGATTAAGCAGGACTTTTCTTCCAATGTTTATTGGCCATATGAAGCCCTTTCGTCTCTTTCTTGACTTACTACTTGTAGTCAGTATTATTAGCTTCTGTTTATCAAAATGAAAAATTTAACACCTTTATGATATCTCTTATGTCCCATCTTATGCCATCTGTTTTTATTGTTTATATCTTTTTAGCTCTTCAGTTAACTGATTTTAAGTTAGAAAATAATCTGATCATATCTTGGTCAATTTTTCAACTCTGGGCTGCATGTATTGACTCTCTACTAGGAAAGATAAGGAAATTAAGATTTTAAATGTGTTTTCATTATTTTTTCTTTCTAAGCCTGAGGTTTTATGGTTTATTTGTATTTTGTAAACTATTATACTCTCCAAATTCAATTAAACCTTTATAGTTTGCTATAATCAATCCTCAAAATTAAAAACCAGTAAGGAGATTGGGTAACAGTTTTCAAAACACAGATAGGAGTAAGTTCTAGTGTTCCACACGCATTGGGGTGACTGCAGTTCATCTTGACCAACTGCATATTTTATGAAAATCTAGAGCAGAGAAGATAAAGATGCCAAACATAAAGGAACAGTAAGGAAACAGAAATGGTAGTTACCTTGATATTATTAGTGCAGGCTTACGCGTGGGTTGAAATACCTAGCTATACCCTGTTAATATGTACAACTAATAAATGTTAATACCTAAACATATACCATTTGGTAAACAGCAAGGTGCATTTACATAGTGTGTACAACAAATATTGTGTGTCAGAGTATTATAGATGTGTTTGGTCCTGCAGAGGAGGAATATTCACACGTAACTGAACATTTGCTTAATTCTCTGCTCCTGGAGACACCTATTATATTCCCATTTTCTCTCTCTGCCTCTCTCTGACTGCCAGCTTGGTTTTGGTTCATTGATTCTGCATCCACTGACCTATAAAATGTTCGTGAGGAGTGTTTGTTTCTGAGCCCTCTTCTTACTATCTGACTCTGTCTTGTCCACGGCAACCTCCTTTGCCTCAGTGTCCTCCCGCATCTGAAGATGAAAGCCTGCTTCCGGCCTCACCCTCACCTCCTGCCAGGCTGCTGTCTGTTTGCTGGGCCGGGTTTGTTTTCTGCCATGGCTGAGCAGTTATTGCCACAGTGCTCAGTGTCACCCACAACTCATCCTCCGCCCTGCGCCCCAGGTCCTGTGCGTTGGGATCCAGATGAGGTTGAACTGGGGCTCTGGAGTTTCCACAAACTGTGGCTGCAGTGGTGGCCAGGTCTGTGGGCTCATCTGAATGCTGGGGTCAGGAGGATCTGCCCTGCAAGATCCTGCGTGCAGTTGGCGTCGTCTGGACGCACCTCCTCGCTGCCGCTTGCCGGGCTGACCTCACCTGGCTGCTGGGGAGAGCCTGCCCTGTGCCCCGTATGTGTCACCTGGCCCCTGGCTTCCCTCAGAGCAGTCCAGCGAGACAGACAGCAAAGGCTGCTGAGGCAGAAGCCAGGGTGGCCCTGTGAGCTAACGCTGGGAGCCCTATCCTCCGCCTTGCCATCCGTCATCAGGACGTGTGTTGTGCCGTTCCGTGGGTTTGAGGTCACTTGTTTCACCATGGGAATGTACTGCACTCCTGGGTACTCCTAATACCTTTCCTTCTTTGGTTCTCCCTCGCATCTGCAGAGAATGTCTGGACTGAACCCAGGCTCTCCTCCCTCTCCCAGGCCAGCCTCTGTCTCAGCAGCCTTCTTAGGAGGGTGGCCTCCTTCTCTAGAGAGGGCAAGTCTTGCCCTGTGACCTGGGTGCCCCTTGCTTTTTTTTTGGGGGTGTGAAGATGAATGTCTTAGACACTTTGTCAGCAACAACACACAAGCTCTGATATCCACAACTTGAAGGAAGAGAGATTTACTGTGGCTCATGTTTCAGTCCGGAGTCAGCTGGCTCCAGGGCAGGGGGGCATGGCAGCGGGGCCTGGCGGAGGAGAGCTGCTCAGCACACGGCAGACAGGAAGCGGCGAGGGAAGGGAGGAGCCGGGAAGGGAGATGCACCCTGGCAGGCCACGCCCCTGTGACTGCCTCTTCCAGCCCGGCCCCGCCTCCTCACAGCTGTGAGCCCCAGGATCCAGCCCCTTGTGAAGGTGCTTCCTGTGATGCTCAAGGCTTTAGCTGTGATGCTCAAGGCTTTAGGGTACCTGCTGGGGTCAGGCGGGTCTGTCCCCTCAAGATGCGTGCAGTTGGCGTCGGCTAGACTCACCTTGCTGCTGAGCTGAGCTCACCTGGCTGCTGGGGAGCAGCTGCCGTGTGCTCCGTGTGTGTCCCTCTAGCTGGTGAGATGGGGTTGCGAGGCTGGGGTCTGTGTATAACATGGCGCCACAACTCAGGGTCCCAGAGAACACTGGACAGGTAACTCCAAAGAGCCAGGGCAGTTTCTTGTCTGAGAGACAGTGTAGCTCAGTGGCCAACCTATGGCCCATGTGCAGAAACAGACTGTGTGTGTCACTGAAAGCTCTAAAAGGTTCACCATCACTGGTCTAGCTGCGGTTGAGGGTGTGAGTTTTGGGCCAGACGTAGACCTCAGTTTGATCCTAGCTCTGCCACCTGCTAGTGCTATGACCTGGGTCCAATAAAGAATCTTCAAAGACCAGATTCTTTCTGTGTGTGTCCTGTTTCCTAGGCCGCTGAGAGGATGGGGCAAGATAATGTTTGGTACGTCTTAGGCACTCAATGCATAACAGCTGTTATTAATTATTACCATCACCACACCATTTGGGAAAGACTATGACTAGAGGAAGATGCATTTTATCACTCCAGAAATTACCAGAAGATCTGGAAGCAATCGGTGACCCAGAGTCATATTATCAATAAAAAACTAGGAGCAAGTTTTGTCGTTACCACACTTAGCCAGAACCATAGGCACAAGTTAGCTTCCTGGAGTAGGGCCTGAGGAATCCAAACTTGCTTCTGGAGTGTTGTTGTGCTTGCTGGTTTTGGAAAGAGTCCCTGTCCGAGCAGCTCCTCTGAGCCAGGCCTGCTCTCGTGGCTGCTGGGCTCCTTCTGCATGGCGGCAGATGTTTGACCAGCTAACCCCTTACACGTGAAATACTTTGGAGGCCGTGCTGGAGGCCACATGTTGTCCATTCGAAAGTCTGTGGTGTTTTGTTAGAGAGACATACGGCTTTGTTTTCAAGTATTTCCCCTTGTGCTTTCCTCATTTACCTGTACCCTCGTGGGCAGAGGCACAGCTGAGGGAATTCTTAGTAAAGGCCCCTAGAAGGTCGATTCCACTGTCACTGGAGGACGTCCGTGCAAGCGGGCGGGGAACGTTACTGGGGGCAGAGCTGGCCAGCGTGTGCCGTTCCGCTGGGACTGCACTGCGTGGTGTCTCAGGACTAACTGCCATTTTCTCTCCAGCTATGCAGACATCTTGATTGAGAGGGAAGTGCTGATGCAGAAGTACATTCACCTCGTTCAGATCGTAGAGACCGAGAAAATCGCGGCTAACCAACTCCGACATCAACTTGAAGACCAGGACACGGAGATCGAGAGGCTCAAGTCAGAGGTATGTCCAGGCTGAAGATCTCGTCCCCTTGGTCTGGTCTTCTGTCTTCTCCTCTCGATTATCTATGTCATGTTCAGGGCCAAACTTTAATCCCAGGCTGAATTCCTGGGCCACCAACACGCGTGGCTGGGCTTCTGGCCTCAACCAGGATGGCAGTCTGCATCAGGCAAAGGCGAAGGCGAAGGCGCTCCAGGAACACAGCATGATGAGAAGCCAGCTTTCCACTGAGCACGCTCACTGTCCTTCCTCAGACTCAGAGCAGAAATCCAGCCTGTCTCAGGCTGACTCGGGATTAGTGACCGTGACTCTCTCAGAGTCCATTGTATAAAAATGGGCAACGCAGGAAGGACAGGAAGTGATTGCTGGTCTGAGGAGCCCAGCCTTCCCCCCAGAGTTGGACAGATCACACGGGGGTGCTGGGACGTGGTTTCCCACCCCAGGGGCGGAGAGGGAGGTTGCAGGGCCTGCGGCGTGATACGGAGCCCAGAGCCCTGTGCGCAGGCCTTGGTCTGAGGAGAAGGCTGGGTCCCCTTCTGTGTGGAGCTGCCGGTGCTCACAGAAATGCGCAGTCACTGAAGAGCAGAAAGGCCGCTGGGTGAAGGGCTCCTCAGAGATGCCGCGGTGTCTCCCTAGGCCCGCGGCAGGGAGCAGGCCGGGAGGAGCCCTGTGCCCACTGTGTCCTCGTCACAGGGCCAGGGTGGGCTGCTCAGGCCTGGCCACTGTCTTGTCACGCTCTCTGTCCTCAGACGTCATTCTCCTCTGTCTCTCACACTTCCTGCAAGTGTGCACCTGTCACCTCTGGTCGCCGGGATGTCCTGTCCAGCGCACGCGGCACTGCCCTAGCCGTGTCCGCTGGGATGGGCTTGCTCCTCGGACCCCACCTGTGCAGGCAACTGTGCTGCCTGCCTCCCGCTCAGCCCCGAGACCCGTGCAGTGGCGGCGGCAGCGACAAGCGCACCACGCCTGCACTTTGTCAGTCTATATCCGGCACTGTAATTTCAGACGAAATTACCGCGTGCTCTGTACCGCAGCAGGTGAAGGTGGATGCTCATGTGGCAGAGATGGGGGTTGGTATTTACCTCCTGGGGCACATGTGCACGCTCCGTCTCCACTGCGTTGTTCTGGATGGAATGCAGGCTGCGGTACAAACAGGCCAGGGCGGGAGCAGGCTGCCTGCAGAGCCAGGCTTGTCTCCTACCCCGTTTGTTTCCCCGCTTCCCTGCCAGAGGCCGACAGAGTATTTGGGGGCGAGACACAGGGATGGCTCGGGGCGATTCTGCTTGCCTGGCTTTCTTTTTATTTTAAAGAGAAAAAAAAAAACAATAACAAAAAAACAATTGGTTTATTGAAAGGAACAGTTAATGCTTAAATTTTTTTTGACCAATTTTGCATGCTTATATCTGGTAATCTGAACAATTAGTTCGAAGATATATGCAGTATAACAAGCACTGTGGAATTTCTCCTGGCGTTTAAGTGTGGCTTCTTCGTGGATTTGTCTGGGTTCTTGCTGTCCAGGAAAGGTCATCGTCAGGGGTCACAGAGCTGAGCGGGAGGTAGGCAGGGAGACTGCGGCTGTCTCAGTCCTTCCTTCCCTTTCTGAGGGTCCTTGATGGGTGGCCCAGTCCCAGCAGGGTGACGTTCCCTGCACAGACCCCACGGGGGCCGGGAGCCCCGCGCTGCACACCCTGGAAGGCACCGTGGGTTGCAGACACGAGAGCTGTGAGCGGTGTCCTGCACTTGGAGGCCGCAGGAGAGGGTGCCTGCGCATCACTGAACAGGATTCAGTCCGGCCAGGCTCGGAGCGCGTGTTCCCCCTAACCAGCCCCTGTCACACTTGGCGCAGTCTCCTCTAGTCAGCACTTTGGTTGGGAACTTGGGGTCAAGTGTGTGCTCCCTACCTCAGCACCCAGGAGGAGAGGGCGCGTGGAGGCAGGTCCCCCAGAGCACTCGCAGGCAGAGCTTCCTGCAAGCTGTCGCTGTGCCCACCCCCCCCCCCCCCCCCCGGCTGCTGAAACAGACCCATTGTGCGTTACAGATTATCGCTCTGAACAAAACCAAGGAACGGATGCGCCCTTACCAGAGCAACCAAGAGGACGAGGACCCAGACATCAAGAAAATTAAAAAGGTAGGATGGGTGGGATTAAAAATCCCAGCATGCTGGAGGCCGAGGCAGGAAGATCACAAGTTTGAGGCCAGCCTGGACAACCTAGCAAGATCGTGTCTCAAAATTAAAAGTAAATAAATCAAAAGGGCTGAGGATATAGCTCAGCATGAAGACCTGAGTTCATTCCAGGTGAGAGAAAGGAAGGAGGGAAAGAAGGAAGGAAGGGAGGGAGGAAGTGAGGGAGGGAGGGAGGAAGGAAAGAAAGAAAGAAAGACAGATAGACAGACGCAAGGCAGGACACTGGAGTGCCCTGGGTCTGCGGCCATGGCCAACCCGCTGTTCGCTCTGAGATGACGTCTCTCAGCGGTGTCCAGCCTGGGAACAGCCTCAGGTTTGCAGTGCTGAGGCGCCCACACCCCTCCTCCATGTGATCGGCCTGGGCTGCTCTGGAGAATCTCAGCTGAGCTTGCTGCCGGCTGACATCCGCTCCCCCTCTCCTCCGGGAAGGAGGAGCAAAACCCTCGCGGCCCAGACCGAGCCTCCCAGGCGGGTTGGCGGGCGCTGTCCGCCTCCCAGCTGTGCTGCTCCTGTTTGGGGGAATTGAAAAAAATCACATCTGGAAAGCAATTTTCTTAGCATAGTCTTTAGTGCTGCCTAGGGAAGATCTCTTTTTTGGACATGTGAGGAAATCGAGTAAATCAGTACATCTGCTCCGTTCAGTTTATTGTTGTTGTGTCTCATTTAACAACCACACAAACGGCAGATCTTTCTCTCTGACGCTCGTAATCATTTTCTTCTGTGTGTGTTGTTTTTCAGTTTTGGCTTTCGTTAGCACTGTTTGCAGTATACAGTGATCCCCGTTCTCACGGGGAGTCGGTGAATGGACACGATACAGCTCAATTCTTTTTCCCTCTCCTTCTCCTCCCCTCTCCATCTCTCGGTCCCCTTCCCTCTTGTGAAGGACCTAGCTCCAAACTTCCTATTATCCTCCTTTTGTTTTGCTTTTTATTGATAGTTTGGGTTTCTCATATAAGAGAAACCATGCACTATTTAAGCTTGTGCACCTGATCTATTTCCCTTAACATTACGGGCTCCAGGTGCATCCACTTTCCTACACATGACTCAAGTTTATCCTTTTTTATGGCAGAGTAGTACTCCATTGTGTGTAAATACCACATTTTCTTTATCCATTCATCTGTTGATGGAACATATAGGCTGCTTCCAGGGTTTAGCTATTATGAATTGTGCTGTTGTAAACATGGGTGTACATGGTAGCTATATGAATTGTGCCACTATAAACATGGGCATCCAACCCTTTTTATCTTTTATTTTGAGGCAGGGTCTTGCTAAATTTCCCAGGCTGCCCTTGAACTTTCTACCCTCCTTCCTTCGCACCTCTAGAGTAGGATTTCAGACATCACTGATGTCTTTAACTCTTTGTGGAGGATACCTAGAATGGGAATAGCTGGGTGGAATGGAACTTCTAGTTTTAGTTTTTTGAGGAATCTCTATATTGATTTCCATAGTGGTCATATTAGTTTATATTCCCATCAGCAGTGTAGAAAAATTCTTTTCCCTCCATGATCATGCCAGCATTTGTTGCTGTTTGATTTCTTGATGGTAGCCATTCTTTCTGGAGTGAGATGGGATGGCAGTGTTGTTTTAATTTGCCATTTCTGTAATGGCCAGCGATGTTAAAATTTTTTCATGCATTTACTGGCCATTTTTACTTCTTCTGAGAAGTATCTGTTCATTTCAGTAGCCCATTTCTGAGCTGGGTTTTTTTATTTTGGGAGTCTAATTTTTTGAATTATTTATATATTTTAGATATTAGTCTCCTGTCTGAGGAGTAGCTGGCAATTTTTTTTCCCATTCTGTGGGTTGTGTCTTCACTCTGCTGGTTGTTTCCTTTGCTGTGCAGAAGCTTTTTAATTTGATCTGATTCCATTTGTTGATTCTTGATGTTATTTCTTGTAATTACCCGGCTTTTCCAAGAGACCGACATGGACACTCTAGTCGACTGCATTTGGAGATTTGTGATTTAGACTTCGTTTCATGATCTCAATTGTCTCATGTAAGGCACTCAGCTTTGTGTAAAATTATGTAGAAAACATCCTATTTAAAGGAATATTCCCGGATATATAACTTCACATCTTAATGTCTTCTTGTTCCTGTTTTTCTATATTAAAGCATTATTTCATTTTCACTGTAACAAAACTTTAACCAAATATTGCTTAGCATTTGGAATAGAAATAATTCTTTGGGCTCAGTTGAATATTTTCAGTTTTCAAGAAATAAAAAGGCAAAATAACACCATTCTTTTGTTAGAATTTTAATTTGAATCTGATTTCTATTATTGTTACAAGATTAGTGCTATTTTCTTTTAGCAGTGTATAGTTGCATGTAAACAAAGATATTAATAAAATCCAATTCTCAGCTTTGTCATGGAAGTTGGTCCATTAGTAAGTAAGTGAAGTAGCTGCTATTGTTCACAGAAAACACCTGCCCAAGTGCGCAGGAAGATTTTATTTAACTCAAAATTTAATTAAGTTGATCTTTGAAAACACTTGTATTCAATGGAAGAATAAAGATAAAACACATATTTTAAATGTTTTTCTACCATTTTAATTCTTAATAGAAGTAATTTTTAAATGTGCTTCTGAACTTGTTAAATAGGTTTGAAATTAACGTTATCATTTTTAATGTCCCAAATCAAAGTAATGTCTGTGGAAAGGGATGCATTTACAAATTAATTGCTTCTTTTTTCTGATCTTGGAAAAATGTAAATTTTTTTTTCATTACAAGAGAGTACAGCTTGAAGTTGGTTGTACTCACAGGAATTTTCCATTAGATTTCCCCAAGTAATATGCATATATAGTTTTCCTGTATAATTTTTTTTGTAGTACTAAGGTGTGAACCCAGGGCTTTTTACTGAGCTACCTCCCCAATCCTTTTTATCTTTTATTTTGAGACAGGGTCTTGCTAAACTGCTCAGGCTGCCCTTGAACTTCCACTCTCCTGCCTCAGCACCCCCAGCATAGGATTTCAGGCATGCGCCACCACACCCAGCAGTTTACCCATAGAATCTCTTAAAACATGGTTAACATTTATTGTGCAACTTCAACGCCTGTGTGAAAATTGATAGTGTGTCAGCATCTGAAGGCAAATGAGAACATGTTAGACATTGCAAAGACAGGCAGGTGTTCAAATACATGATCATTTAGACCATGTAGGAAAAGGGTGTGGAAGAAAATTTAAAGAGCGTAAGGAAGTGTTGGGTAACAGCACTCCTAAAAAAAAGTTTGGTAGTGAATTAATGCTTTAAATTATTAGTGAATTTGCAGCGTGGTTTGTTGCCGAATCTGCCACATCTAATATGACAAATCTTAGCTAATCATCATATAATTTTTATATTTAGAGAAGACTTCATGTTTCTCGGTCAATTCTTTTATAGATGAGGAAATGGGATCAGAGTCCTCGGTCACCCTGCTGGTCAGTGGTAGAAACTATAGGTTAAGGATGATGATATAAACCCGTCTGCTCGGCCCCCAGAAAGTATCTGCATTTGAAACATATACAGTCAGTGTTTGTTGATTGGCTATGTCACACAGTGCTGTTTCTCAGATTTGCCTATTGCTTTTTAATAGCATAATTCAGGTCAGTCTTAGAGGCCATGATGTTTCTATAAAATATATTTTATATTAAATTATATTTCATGTGCTTTTTCACAAAATAATCACTATTGCAAGTAGTTCATGTGCCTCTTGCCCATGTGGCTGGGTGTCTTTATTTTTTAAATTTTTTTATTTTAAAGAGTAAAAGAAGTACAACATAGTAATAGGGGGATTTATCGAATTACAAAGTGGTAGGACATTATCAATGGTTGTTATTTTACCTATTGGTATCTTCAAGATAGTTTCTTAGGAAAACAAATAGACAAATAATAGTGACTTACAGACAAAAATGGCAGGAAATTATCAATGGTTGTTGTACTATACTTTGGTTTCTTCAAAGTGGTTTCTAGAGAAAGCAAATAGAGCTATACATGAGTGATCAATTAAATAATCACTGACTATTCTTATTTTTATTTATTTTTATTTTTATTTTTATTTTTGGTTTTTCTCCGGTACCGGGAACCGAACTCATGACCTTGTGCTTGCCAGGCAGGCGCTTTTGCCGCTGAGCTAAATCCCCAGCCCCATCACTGACTATTCTCAATGGTTGTTGAAAACACATAGTAATAAACATACATCCATTTATGAAATAGCATAGGAACAATACAAACATTACAGAGTTATGGACAGATTGGTAGGAAATTATCAATGGTTTCTGTAATACGTGTTGGTATCTTCAAAGTGGTTTCTCAGGAAAACAAAAATATGCAAGAAAGATCTAACAAGTAGTTACAGCCTAAGGGTTGTGAAAAATAGTGGATTACCTCCTCATCAGTGACTCCTTTCACTGAGGTGTGACGGCTGGAGACGGCTGGAAGGAAGGCCAGGATTGAAAAGAAGGACCGAGAGACTAGCACCAGTGTCCAGCAATAGGCTGTTTACTTTTTCCTCTATAGTCATGATTACCCGGGGCTCCTCCTTGGAGATAACGGTCTGGCCAGAGGGAGAAGGCAGAGTATGCCCTGGGCCCCTTCATTCCTGTTGGACCAGCTGGTAGGAGGGGTCTGAGCTCTGGGGCCTTCACTTCAGAGGGCAGTCCGACCTCTAGTGGTCACCTTTACAGTCAGAACATGGCCCAGGGGGCTTCTTAGGGCAGTCCTTCCTGAGGTGGCCTGGCTTTTAACAGTGGTAGCAGATAAATGTAGTCAACAAGTCCTTCTTGGGGCCCTGAGAATGAGACTTAGGGTCTGTTTCTCTTAGTGCTGCAACAAAGGCAGCTGTTTTTTCTCGGTCTCTTTGTTTTCTCTCCTTGGCCTCCTCCTCGTCATGGCTATAAAATACTGAGGAGGCTATTCTTACTAACATCTCAAGTGAGCTATCTGGGGCAAAAGCCATTTTTTGTAGCTTTTTTCTACTCTCTGGGGCTGACTGAATAATAAACTTATCTTTAAGAATAGTTTGTCCCTCTACTGAACTGGGATCCAGGGAAATATGCTTTATCACCTCTTGTCTAAGAAAGCAGAGGGTGTTCCTTCCAACCTTGTGGCTGGGTGTCTTTACAGTTAAGAAAAGGCTGGCAAAGAAGTGGTGGTCTGCTTACAGCTGCGTGACTTACCTTCAAATTTAGTGTGCTTATTTACAGAACAGAGGGGCTGGGTGAGCTGATTTCTAAGTCCTATTTTTTTGAAATTAAAAACCAAAACTCAACAATAAGAAGGAATCAGAGACCTGATTTAAAACAGGGAAAGGATTTAAATTCACCATTGTCCCAAGATGATACACAACTGGCCAACGAGCAAATGAAGAGATTTTTGGTGCCACGGATCATGACAGGGATGCAAATAACACCCACCTGTAGTTCCACACCAGTCAGGAAAGCTGATGTCACAAAAACAACAGAAAGTGACATGTTGTGGGGGAGCCGTGCGGAATTGGGATGTTGGTGCCAGGGGGCTGGGAACAACCTGTATGGAAAAAGTCTCCTAAAAAAATGAACAGCAGCACTGCTCTGCGACCCAGCAATCCACATCTGGCCAAGTGGCCAAGGGAAGGAGGAGAGCGCATCATGGAGATCTTGGTGCCAGCACTAGCAGCAGCTAAGGGGGCACATCTATGAAGGCCAGCGATAGCTGGGTGGGAAGATCCAATGCGGTGCGTGTGAATCTGTCCAGAGGTCTCTACCCAAGCAGCCAGACACACCGACCATGGCTGACCTGTGTACCTAAAAATCATGCAAAATCATGAGCTGTGTACTTAAAAATCACTAGCTGGAGGTGCCTCAGTCACAGCACACTTGCCTCACGTGCACGAGGCCCTGGGTTCAACCTGTGCTACATAAGACAAAATGCGGTATGTTTTCAGTTTCTTTTAAACCACCATTTAAAACAATTTTCTAAAAGAAAATCCTGCTATGTATTCCTTTCTTGAAATGTTATTAATAAATGTGGAGTGTTGTTTTGTAGAGTTCATATGGACAAGCCTGAGAGCTTAAACTATGAAAGAAAGTTGTGAACCTAAGAAAAAACACTAGTTTTAAAATCATCGCTTTTGCTTGATTTTTGGAGAATGCCTGCCATTACTTACTCTACTTGTGGATACTGGTATACCCAGGAAGGTGCAATGTGTTTTTCTCTTAGTCCTGAGGACTGAGCCCAGGGTCTTTGCACTGAGCCATGTGCCCAGCCCTTTCTCTAGTTTCTATTTTGAAACAGGGTCTTTCTAAATCACTATTTTCCAGGCTGAGATCCTCCTACCTCCGCCACCGTGCCTGGCGTAAGAAAGCCAGGCCCACATGCCGCTGCAATTCTCTCTGTTCCGCAGGTCCAGAGCTTCATGCGAGGCTGGCTGTGCAGGAGGAAGTGGAAGACCATCGTGCAGGACTACATCTGCTCTCCCCACGCCGAGAGCATGCGCAAGAGAAACCAGATTGTGTTTGCCATGGTGGAGGCCGAGTCCGAGTATGTGCACCAGCTCCACGTGCTGGTCAATGGCTTCCTGCGCCCCCTGCGCATGGCCGCCAGCTCCAAGAAGCCGCCCATCAGCCACGACGATGTCAGTAGCATTTTCCTCAACAGGTGTGACTTTGCCCAAGCCCAGACTCAGGTGAAATCCACTTGCAGTTCTTAAAAGAGCTTTTCCTTATTCTCAAAAGGTTAGGCGCCACGCTCCATCTCCTTGGCCCAGGATGTTGGCAGTAACAAAGCTGGCATTGCATTGCATTTGGTTATTAGTGCCAGTTTGCATGGCTTTCTGTTTCCTCAGTTTACTTTGCTCTTGTGATTGTGTGGGGTGAGCAGGTGGGGAAGAGACCACCTCAGTCACGGGGGAATGGGAGCGTGAGGGGTCTTTGCATCCAGTTTGCACACAGCATTTATAGAAGACTGAAAAACTAAGACAGAGCCTGAGAATCCTTGCTGAACTTAATTGCTTAGCAAGTATTTCTAGTGTTCTTATTACTGATGATTAATTAGTGAACAAAGCAGAAAGTCTCAGGCTTCAGGGAATTAAATTTTGATGCCAGAAGACTGACAGTGAATAATGAATAAATGAAATGTCTGTGGTGTGGTGGAAAGTGGTGAGAAAGATGGGATAAGTGTGTTTGAGGTGAGGTGTCTTGGTTACTTTTCTCTCATTGCTGAGACAAAATACCCAACGCCAAAAATGAAGGAAGGAAAGGTTTATTTAGCTTACAGTTTGTGGAGGTTTCAGTCCATACTTGGCTGGCACCGAGGCCGAAGATAGCAAAGCAATAAGAGCAAAGGGAGGAATGGCAGTGGAACAGCAAACAGCCAGAGCAAACGGGAGGAATGGCAGCAAGCAGCCTCTTTCCCTCCCTTACATTGTAAACAGGCTACCCCCACCTAAGGGGCTTGTAGCTCTCACATAATCTCCATGCCCTCCTCTTCCACAGGTCAGGATGTATGCAAAGTAAGCACCCTGGCTTCCTGCTGAGTCACTTAGCCAAACCTCTAGACTCCCCAAGTTGACACAATGTATCAACCATAACATGAGGGAAGGATTTTGAGGGGGATTCCTGGCAATTTGCCTTTCATTGCAACAGTTGCTTCTACCTTCTGCATTCTGCCAAGCAACTATACTGGTGGAACTGAACCTGCATCAGAATATAGCTGCAAGGGAGTCTAGGAAATGTAGTCTGTCTGGAAGGAGGAGGAAACACAGACTAAGACAATAATTTATGAAACCCAACAAACTTGATTTGGTTTAAAGCCTGGAACAACAAATATGACTTACTTAAACTTTCTATAAAAGAAAAAAAAATCACAGCCTTCAAGCCTAGTTTATTGCATGGACCCTTTGGACATAGTGATCACTTCTCTTTGATGTTTGTGCTAATGGAATTTGACTTACAACTAGCCAAGGTATCTCACTGAGAGGAGGAATTCTGTTTTTAAAAAATTTCTGCATGTTACTTTTTATTTTTATTAGTATGTGTTTGCAGCATGTAATGTTTACATTCCTCATGGGGAGCTGGTGCAAGCACATAACACATTTTAATTCTTTTTGTCATCCCTTCTATTCTCCTTCCTCTCTCATCCCTCTATCTCATTTCCCTTCTTCTTTGAGGAATAGCTCCCTCTCTACTTCCTATTATCTATCTTTTATTTTGCTCTTTATTTATAATTTGGGTTTCTCATATAAGAAAATCATGTGATACTGAAGCTTATGTGTCCGATTAATTTCACTTAACATTATGGTCTCAAGTGCATTTATGTTTCTGCAAATGATTCAAGTTTATCTTTTATATGGCCAATAAATATATGAAGAAATGTTGAACATCACTTGCCTTTAGAGAAATACAAATTAACACAACACCAAGATTCCCCTTTATCCTGGAAAGAATGGCTATTATCAAGAAATCAAATAATAACAATAACAAATTGTTAACAGCTGGTAAGGCCATGGGGAGGAAGGAACACTTCTACGTCGCTGGGGGAATGTAAGCTAGCACAACCACTGTGGAAGTCAGTGTGGAGATGCCTCAAAAACTAAAACTAGAAATTCCATTTGACCCAGCTATTCCCCTTCTAGATATCTTCCTGTAAGAATTAAACATTGCATCCCAGTGATCCATGCACACCCATGTTTATAGCATAGCCACACAACTCATAATAGCTGAATCTTGGAATCAGCCTCTGTCCACTGATAGATGACTGGATAAAGAAAATGTGGTATTTACACAAACAGAAGAATTCTGTTTTTAGTTGTGCCAGTGTGTTAATTCAGAAAAGATACTGAAGGTTGTTACCATGGGTCAATCCTGATAAGAAAGCAAAGGAGAGCCTGACTTTTGTAACTGCCCTTCTTGGACCCTTTAGAAATGTAATTCACACAGTTCTCCTTTCAGTGTCAGTGCAGGCTTCATGCTTTTCAGAGGATTATTTTACATCTCTGTTGAGAGTGTCTTAGGAGAGGGTATAATACAGTTCTGTCAACATTTTTGGTATGGATTTCCCCCCTCCCTCTTTCTGTTAGAATGATTTTGGTGCAAGAGAGGCTGTTTCTTTGAATTTGCAGAATTGACTAAGAAAGGCAAAGTGATCCTAACTTTAATATTCTGATATCAGTCAGAGTGCTGCATCTAACAGTGGAAAACTCGCTTGGAAGTGGGAAGAGGGCCACACACAGTGGTTTGGTGCTTCTGGTCTTTCAGTGTTTGAAGCTCACCTTGGGCTTTCCTCTGGGTTTTTGAGGTGGTGTGAAAGAGAAATGGCTGTACAGAGCCCGGCATAGGCCATGGTAACGTTGGCCGTGGGGCTGGAGGCATATCACAGAGAGAGAGGGCTTCTACCACTCATTGGAATTTTTTGACAGAGCAGATACTTTGCAGTGGCCAAATTGCATTATTTTTCTACTTTTTTTTTTAATAGTGAGACAATCATGTTTCTCCATGAAATATTTCATCAAGGACTCAAGGCGCGGATAGCGAACTGGCCTACTTTGATTTTAGGTGAGTGCGTTGAGTACATCCTGTGAACCTGTGTTTGGGTTATGCTGCCTGCAGCTGGAGTGTGATAACGCGGCTCTTCAGCTTGAGCTGCCTGACTTTCCCCGCTGCCCTAGGCTCCTTCCCCACCGGAGCTGTCCCAGCACGTGGGCCCCTTGGCCCTGCCTGGGGAGTTGTTTGCCTTGTGGCTCCTTCCCCTCATCTGCCATGGGTCAGTTGGGGATCAGTCCTGTTCTGCTTCTGGCTTGCTTTACCTGAGCTGTCATCCAGGCTCGAGGAGCAGGACCCATGTGTCCCCCCACTGCTGGGCCACCCTGTGCTCTCCCTTGCATGCACGTAGTTTACCCAGCACCAGGGGAAACGACCACATTTACGTCTCTTCTCCAGCTGATCTGTTTGATATCTTGCTGCCCATGCTGAACATTTACCAAGAATTTGTGCGGAATCACCAGTACAGCCTCCAGGTGCTTGCCAACTGCAAGCAAAACAGAGACTTTGACAAGCTCTTAAAGCAGTATGAAGCCAACCCTGCCTGCGAGGGGAGGATGCTGGAGACGTTCCTGACGTACCCGATGTTTCAGGTACGTCACTGCGGCTGCGTCTTTATAGGTTGCTGGGTCCAGCTCTGAGTCCCCGATGCCTGCTGTGACCAGAGAGGGCTGAGACACCTCATGAAGAGCACTGTCCCCTGCACTGTCCTGGCAGACAGAAGGGCCACACGTGTGCTGTCTAGTTCATGCAAGAAGCGGCATCTTTTGATTGTCTTCTCTTTTGTTTTCCTTTGCTCTTTCTTTCCTCTGTCCCTCCCTCTTTTTCTTTTCTCTCCTCTCCTCTTTCCCTCCCTCCCTCCTTTTCTTTTTCCTTTCTTTCTCTTCATAGTGCTGGGGGTCCAATCTAGGGTCTCTCACACACTGGGCCAGCACTCTGTCCCTGGGCCGTGTCCCCAGCCCTGCAAGCAGGCATTTTTGAAGCAAATAACTCAGGAATGATTTCTGGAAAAGCAGCACAATTTTCTCTTTACAGAAGGATTCTACACAGACCTCTTTCACGGAGTCTCCTCCTCCAGCATGTTTAAAAATATTATTAGGTTTGCAGAAATAGGATTCTGTGCAACTGTTCCAGTGAATGCTGGTTGCATAAAAGCTGCTGGGGCCTGGAGTGACTGCCGGGAAGGTCGGTGTGGCGGCCCATCCTCCAGCCTCCCGCTGCTCCTCCGGAGGACAAAGCCAGGGCCTCCCTGGCTAGAGAGGCTGTGGGACCATGGCCAGCGGCCCTGGCAGGGTCTCTTGGCACCAGGCCAGGCGGCCTCACCAGGGCAGGGTGGTGGTCAAGTGTGCTTGCATTCTTTTCTGGGATTTGGGCTTTGCCGCTGAGAGCTCTGCAGTGAGGACCACAGAGGCCCCACGCATTGACTGTTCTTTGCAAACTGTCGATTCTGTTCTAGAAAAGCTCAGTGTTCCCACCACGGAATTTATGGGGCTTCTGGCGAGGCTTTCACAGTGTCTTGTGGTGACCCAAACCCGCCGATCGTGTGTCAGGTTACATGGCGCGCTTTGGCCTCTCAGCAGGCGTCTCTGACCCTGCCTAATCGTTTATGTCACAGTGTTGCTGTGGCTCCTAATTGCCTCTGAGTTTGTCAGTCCGTCCTCAAATCCTGAAGTCACAACAGAAGCTTAGTAAAGTTCCTGACAACCACCAAGGTGCACTTGAAAGCACTGAAGTACACTGAAACTTTACGTTTTCTTTTTGGTGGAACTACATTGTTTGAACTTTTTGCCTCTTTGAAGAAATATTTTACAAGAAAAATTTCAGCCTTTTATTTTTACTATATGCGTAATTGGAATTTAAGGTTTTATTTGCAGTGAAACATTTTATATAATGTATCATTGTTTGGTGATTCTATGGATTTTTTGGCAATTATCTCAAATTATGATTCAACATTCCACCTGGTATCTGTTCAGTAGCCTCAAATCAGGTGCAGATACAATGTGTGATTGAAATTTATGGTGAACGTTTTAATTTTTAAAAAATCATTACGAGAGACATTGCCATGAACTCCCCTCTCTATATCCCCCCACTTTGAGCACACTCATCCCGTCATCCTTGTCACTTTCTGCAGCAGCTCTGGAGTGCTCTTTCCTGAGTGTCTTTACAGGATGTGCTCAGAAACACAGCGAATGCTGCCGCCGAGCTCCATCCAATGGAAAGCTCAGAAAAACACGACCCTGTGTCCTCATCTAGTTTATTCACCAGATCTGGCACCATGTGACTCCTGACTCTTCCCTAAAGTCAAAATAGCTATGAAAGGGAAACATTTTGAGTTGATGCAGCACATCAAGCCAGCCAGGACAATGCAACCAAAGGCATTCAGGGCAGAGGACTCCAGAACTGCTTCAGAAAGTGACAAGGACGATGGGATGAGTGTGTCTGGAGCCAAGGGGAGGGATTTGAGGGGATTCATGGCAATGTAGCTCGAAGTGTAATAAATTCTTTAAATGTAGACATGCTCTGTGTTTTTTGCTCTCACTGCATGCACAAGTAGAGCTGTGAAAGGTGCTTGGAACGGTAGGGTCCTGGCTCCGTTCCCCATGCCTGGGGTGTCTTCGCCATCGTGCAGTTCCTTGGGGAGGTCTCTGGGTTTCTTAAACTGCTGGGATCCTCTTCTGCCTCCCTTCCCTGCTGCAGCCCAGAGTTTGACGCCCAGCGGCAGTGACTAAGCATTTCGATGGCCCGCGGGAGTTCCCATAATGTCAGACAAAGAAGCTTGAGCTGGGGGTGTTGAGCAGGAGACCTGAGTTTCACTCACCCTTCAGCCGTGGCCTGGGATAATGCAGGCCACCTCTATCTCTATGTCTTGCTGTCTGGGTGGAGGCAGCTGGGCTCCATCGGGCTCCAAGGATCCAGCTCCGACCCTGCCACCTGCAGGGGACCTCGCCCTTGCAGTCGGCGCTGGGCTCCTCTGTGCGTGCAAGGAGCCTGGTGTCAGCCCCGGACCCTCCCCTCAAGCCGTGGTGACCTCAGCCCCACCGTTGGAGCCTAGACACTGGGGTCCTCAGGACTCCCTCCAGACTGGATGACCAAAGGGTAGGGCGTGTCCCAGCCCACTCCAGGTGCCCCAAGCTGAGGGGGCTCAGCAGAGCTGGTCCAGCTGCGGGATGTGAGCGGGCAGTAGAGGCACTGGAGGCTTTTCATCGCTTCCCGGTCACTATTTCGAATAGAACAGGAGGGAAAGCACAAGTGCTTCGCCCCGGCCTGGTCTCCCCACCTCGGCCTCCTCTCCGGGTGATCCAGACAACAACTGGGTCCAAGCTGCCCTTCGTAGGAGGAGCTGGAGGGTTTGCTTTCCAGGTTCGTTCTGTCTCCTCATCCCTCGTGGCCTTTCACTAGCAAGGTGAGACAGCCTGGCGGTGTCTGCTCCCTCCAAGGTCTGGGGTGACTCCCTTCCCTCGGCGTGTGCAGAGGCAGCAGTGCTGCTCCTGCCAAAGCCTAGCACCCAGCTTCAGCGGGACACATCTAGGAGGAAGCCGGGGTGCCACACCCTTTTGTTGTGGGGCAGTAATCAAAGAGGTGAGGGTAGTTCAGGCCCTGGCTTTGTCTGGAGCTTGGGTGGCAGACAGAATCTGGGGGAGGAGCAGAGTGAGGAGGAGAGGGCCTGGAAGTGCTAGCTCATGTGTGCGTGTGCGTGTGTGTGCATGCATGTGTGTGTGCATGTGTGCATGCGCTTGTGTGTGTGGAGACCACAGAGGAGACCAGTGCATTCTTCCTCCTTCTGAGGCTTTTTTGCTGCTATTACTAGCTTTGTTGATGTGGGAAAATGGGGAGGAATTGTTGAACTTGGAGGATGCAGTGAAATGTCTCTCCCTCAAACAGCGGGACCAGCCAGTCCAGGAGCTGGCAAAGAATTTGTTATGGAAAACACTGTTATTATTAACATAATTTTTACTCTGCAAAGTCAGCGTGCTGTCTGGGTTGGCTGCAGCGAAGTTGGCCCTGCCGCTTTGGTTCTGCGTGCACCGGGAGCCCACGGCCCTCAGGGCGGGCTTTGACAGAGCAGCCCTGCGAGATGGTCTCAGGATGAAGCCCTTCGCCGCTTGGCCTGGCTGCTGGCTGAAACCGGACAGCAAGCTAATTCGTGTTCCCGGAGTGACAAGAATTTGCCCCATCAGAGAACGCAGAATTCTGACTCATTCAGTGCTTACCAGGATGCCTGGGCTTTTGGAACAAGTTTGTTGTCAGCACTTGAGCACACAGATGAGCTCCTCTGAGCTGCCTGCTGTCTGAGAGCGTTGGCTCCATTTGGGGCCGTTTTCACTGCTATTTGTTCCTCCACCAGAAAGTGTAAAGGGCCAGATGCCGAGTCCGGCTCCAGCCACTGACTCTCAGCCAGGCAGCCCTTTAAACTAGATGGATCTAAGGGAGGAGGCCCGTGAAGCTGCCATCTAAACTTACTTTTGTGGGTCTCAGTGCAGATCCTGAGCAGAGGCTCCCTGCTCCTTCTCACCTTGGTTTTCCATGGAACCCTAACTTTGGGGTGAACTTTGACCGACCACGGGTTGTGCAGACAGAGGAACACTGGAATGCGTACATGTCCCTCGAGACTTCACTGGGCCAGCCCTGCGCTGCCCTCAGTGAGGGACTCCTGGAGTAAAAAAGAGACAGCGGCTGCCTCCGTGACCCTGGGAGGGAGGGTCCTCTTCACCCCTCCTCCTCAGAATGAGGGTTCTGTCTGCTTCCTGGCACTGTGACTTTGTCATGGGGCTGCAGTGAGATGTCTGCTGACGCTGGCCACCCCTGCCAAGAGCGCTCTACACAAGTGGACACCCACGTGGGGCAGAATGCAGGGGCCCACACTGGACCCCCGAGCTGGCCGTCTGTCCTCATTCTCTGGGGTTCTTTCCTGTGCTGACTGAGACCCAGTCCTCAGGGGAGAGACCCACAGAACAGGCGCTTGGGGAATGGCAACACAGCACGACCGCAGCCAGCCTGAACTTTATAGCAAGACCCTGTCTCACCCACCCCATGCCGAGTCATTGTAACTTCAGTTAAATCTCTAGTATGATTTTTTAAAACCTTCATATGGTTGCCAAAGCTTCGATTTTGACAGAACTTTGTGAGTCTGTTCATGAGCAAAAGTACAAATCATCTAATTAAACGATTTTTTTTTTTACTGTGAAATGAAATGAAGCAGGACCAAAATGTAATAAGGGAATATACTTTCTCCCAAGTTCTAATTGTTAAAAGGAACATTGCTGTGGGATGATTAATTTTTAAAAAACTCTGTAAGCAGACAAAAATATCTAAAAAGGCAGGTCAAGTGACTTGAAGACAGCTGTGTCTCTTGCGCCGGGATTGAGAAACGTGTGGTCATGGACCACATTAAAGAAACAGTGGAATATGTTGTGGCTGCCATCTCTTGGGGTCTCTGTGAAGTCCTTCTTGGTGTGTGTGCAGTTGGAAGCGTCGTTCCTCCTAAGTATATTTCTCTAAGAAGCGATTTGCAAGCCAGACCTGTGTGAGCAGAGCCGAGGCTGCCGCGGTGACGGTGACAACCAAACTGTGGAGAGGCCCCGTGTGACCCATCCTGACCCCTTGCTGCTTTCAGATCCCCAGGTACATCATCACGCTGCACGAGCTCCTGGCCCACACGCCCCATGAACACGTGGAGAGGAAAAGTCTACAGTTTGCTAAATCGAAACTGGAGGAGCTGTCCAGGTAGGCGGGGAGCAAGTGAGAAGGGCAGGGGAGGGGACCGGCCAGCTGGTCCACCGCGGAGACCCAATGCCATGTATGCTCCAGCAAACACAAGCCCCAATCTCTGATTCACTGTACAGCTGAATGCCAGCTCATGCCATGTTCTGAATCCTCATTCACATTAATTTTAACCAAGAAAAAATGTATCTCTTGGAAAGATTTTATAGCAGGTAAATTTGTATAATCGAGTCCGTGTGTTTTGGTGTAAGTTTGGAAGTGTTCACTTTATTTTCTCAGCATCACCGGAAAGTGCCTTTCAGTTAAAACTTTGTAGTCAGATTTGGCAAAAAGCTAGAGAAGGTAGTTGGCATTTCTCAGTGATTTTTCATTGTTCCAGGCACTTACTCACATCTGTGTGCGTTTAGTTTATATGGGACAATATCAAGCTATTTGCTCAGCTCCCCACAAATGGCACTCTCCTACCTGGGAAGCAAGTGGCCCATGAAACATGGCCCATGAAATTGCTTTCTGGTCTCGTTCAAAGCAGACATTCCCGTGATGCTCACTGACGCGTGGAGCATGCTGGGCTTCCACTCGGCTGGAATTCTGGCGGTCCAGTCTGCTTCCCCCTTGGGCCCCGTTAAATTGGTACAAGTCCAAAGCCGACCGTCTCAGTTGGGCCCTTCCTTGGCGATGTGCTGGGCAGTGGCTAACGTCTCCCCGTGTTGTGCGGCAGGGTGATGCACGACGAAGTCAGTGACACTGAGAACATACGGAAGAACCTCGCCATCGAGCGGATGATCGTGGAGGGCTGCGACATCCTGCTGGACACCAGCCAGACCTTCATCCGCCAGGGTGAGTCCCCAGGGCCTGGCCGTCTGTCCCGGCGTCTCTGGCAGAGGCAGGGCTCGCTTTCTGGAGCAGGCCTGGCTCCGTGTGCGATGGGCACCTTTCGTGCAGGCCCTCTCCGCGGGCTTGGCCCCGGGCTGCGGTTGAGGCCGCCTCTGTGCTGTTTCTTTCCAGGGGCCATGAAACACAGCAGCACAGTGATAGTCAGGTGTGCGTGTGACAGTAAGTCACATGCTGGCTGCACTCTGCTCCTGAGCGGACCCGACGTTCTCTACAGCTCCAAGGAGGACGCGTCGGGCTGGCCCCGTGGCGCAGTAGTGCCAGCTGGTGAGGATGTCCAGGCGAAAGCCCAAGAGAAACTGGCGATCCTCAAAGCCCTGTGCCAGAAGAGTGGGGACAATGTTCGGAGTGAAAACAGCTGTTTCCTGTTCCCATTTTTCATCAGCACTGCCGGACCAGCCCCACCTGGTGGCGTTTGATTGCCTGGTAACTTGGGTTACCAGTTGGCATCGCTCCCCGTCGGTCCCTGGTGGGCTCTGGGCATGGCCAAGCAATGGTGTGTGGGCTGGCTTTGGGGCACTCCCCCGTCAAGCGAGTTTTGGAAGAGTCAAAGATGCTTGTGTGCAGAAACTGAAGAATCAACACTTGGACAGTGCATGCTCCCCTTCAGCTTTTGACCTCAAGGGACCAGAGTCAACTGCACCCTAAGTCATTTTTCAGAGCTTAGACACTTCGGGGAGAGAGCAGGCCCCGAGCGGCGGATCGGAGTGATGGATACAGTCTATTACACACACCGGTCGGTTTGAGCTTGTTGAGGAGTGGAAGCTAAATTTGGGACTTGAATTAATCATTAATGCAGTTCCTGTGTATGATGTGCTGATAGCGTTCGAAGATCTATCTGTGCCTTGCTGCTGCCTGCTATATTGTGCTGCTTAAAATCCCTTTTTGACCTCATTGAAGAAGACACCAGGATGTGCACATTCGTTTCTTGCAAAGAATACTTGAAGACTTTAACACACGCCATTTTCTGTTGTTATTTATTGACAAGGAGTGAAGCCTTATAACTATGTTCAAGTTCAGGCGTGTATTTTAGAAAATGATTCCTTTTCCCATTTCTGGCGTGGGACACTCGTTTTTCTTTGGATAATCGTGGAATGTGATGCTCACAGCACCAAGCCTTTGGGTTTCCCCTCTGTCCCCTTCAGAGCCCAGGTCCCTGTACCTACTCCCTGCAGAGTCTGTGCCTATCCACGGCTGCCCCTGGGTTCCTGTGGTCCTCTGTGCCTGTGGAGGGTCGGTTGTGGTCCCAGGCCTGGTCAGAGAGCAGGCGTAAGGGGTCGGCCTTCCTCCCGCTCCCCTGGCCTGGTGGGTGTGGCTGTCCTGCTGGGTGTGGCTCTTGTTCACACACCTCTCTCCCAGGCATTGAGAAGCCAGGAGAGCAGCTCTTGTGAATTCTCCCTGCTTCAGCTCATCTGGTAAATGCTTGGCATTGTAGCTACTGTAAAATGGGCGTTGGACAAAGTTTGATTTCTTGAATCGCCATTGTGATTGTAAGATATTTTATACTCTTCTTTTGTTCAGAGTTTACCACAAATGCCTACTAACTGACCTATGCTTTTTAATATGTGAGAATGCAAACTAAAGTTTCCAAAGCTGCTGTACTACTTCCAAAAGGTCTGTGGACGTGGGGAAGTGTGATCACGCCTAACGTTAACTGTATTTCTAAAAACTTAGGCTGCATAAATCTAGGCTTGAAAAAATACCCATAATAAAAAATGCTAGAAGGCAAATGTATGGAATAGGTTGTATTTTTTTGCTGCACATGGGAAAAGAACTCACACACCCCTTCTCCCAGAGGTCAGACCCACATGGTGCTTGTTTCTCGTTTCCTACCACATGTTTAAGGTGCTTCTGTCAGCTGTTATTGTTTCTGATATTGCTTTTGTGCCCATGACAATCTGGTGATTGCTTTTCAGCAGCATTTTCCTGCATGTTTTATCATGAATTACCCAATGCACTGAATAGGACTTATTCAGTAAAGGTGGTTGCTGGATGTCAGACCTTGACCTGAAAGGGGAATGTGACAAATCACTACAGACGCCTGAGAAGGTTTGCTTTGTCCTGCCTTGGCCTCTCCTGCCATCACTTTTACTAAATCCCCTTAGCAGTCCTAAAGGGTAGTGGAGGTGTTTTAAAAAATCATTATTCTTTAAAGCTTTGAGAATTCTATTTTCTATGAAATGAAGCATGATTTACCTCTAGTGGCTTGCTGGTGTTTGTGTTACCTACTTTCACGGATGGTAGAAAGTCCATTTCTGTGTGTGTGTGTGTGTGTGTTTCTGCACACACTTTCAACCCCGTGTGAAATCCTATTCTGAGAACTGGAAAAGGTAGTCACACAGCTCATCTCAAAGGCTGTCTCAGGGCAAGTGCTTCAGTCCCTCTCCAGTGGTATCTGAGGGGGAGGTAGGGGTATAAATCATGTAAGTTTTATTGTAAATGACTCTGATCATTAGATAGCATAGTCTGATGAACAGGAGGCGAAAGAGTCTATCACAGCAGTGACTGAATACTGCTGTTTGATTTCCAAAATCTAATAATTTAATTGAATACTGCCGTTTGATTTCCAAAATCTAATAATAAAGTCAGTGTCAAGGCAGTCACAGGACCACAGTGCGGCCACTCCCTGGAGGTCAGACCCTGGGCCCTGTTCCCTGGCTGTGTGATGCTGGACAATGTGTGCAACCTTTCTGGCCTGTTTCCTCTCCTCACCCTGCAGTTAATGGTAGTGCCTGTCTTTTACGATTATCTTGAAGATTAAATGAGCTGATCTCCACAAAAGCACCCCGACTCAAGCTTGTGAGTCACTTGAAAGTGAAGATCCAAGTTTTGGAACGGCTTTCTATTTCCAATAGCATGAAATATCTTCTAGTATTTGTTTGAAGATAAAGGCACTCTAGGGTGACATTTAGTACCAACACCACTATGCATTGTCAACATTGTCTTTGTGGAACTGTGAATCAGGACAGTTAAAGGCGACTGAAGAGAGCGGAATGCCTAAGAATGAGATGTGGGTTTCTCTGGCAACTTCAACATTCACAGACTCAAAGCCATGTGCATCCGCTGGACAGAGGGGTTTGGAAGTTGCAGCACAGTTTCTGGATGCCTAACCCAAGAATCCGGGCATTGCTCTTCATTTTTGTCCTCTACAGAGTAGAATGAAGAATCAGAGCTCTCGCCAGGTTCACAGGACCTTCACATGAATCTGCTGACAGCGATGACAGCAGCCTTGCTGTAAGGTGACCCCAGAGTTTGGACCGGATGGATGATCATGACACCATGTATCATAGCACACCTGTCTATACTGGGCAATTATTGACTTTAGTCCTGGTGCCTTCTCCAATTTGTGTTAACCAGAGGAATCCTTCCTTGAAGTCTCAAGGCTATGTTGAAATATCGTGGATGCCATAACGTTAAGTGAATTCAGACACGCAAGCTTAAATATCACACAGTTCCTCTTACACGAGAAACTCAAATAAAGACCAAAGTAAAAGATAGATAACAAGAAGTAGGAAGATGGCTCTTTCTCCAGTGGGAAGGGGATCAAGAGCTGGAGGGAGAGGGAGGGAGGGGAGAGAAAGGGAAGGAAACAGGAATTGAGGTGTGTTGTGGGTTGTGCCCATGTACCATCTCCACACAAGGAGCACAAACAGGTATTGCAAACAGGTGCTACTGAAAAAGCAACTTACATTTTAATAAAAACCATAGGGTGAAATGTGGGAAAAGAATCTACCTAAAATACGTTTTCCATGCATCTTGTTTTATAAACCAAATAGTGTTGGCATGTTTCCCTTTTCGTTCCCATGCATAGATTTCTTTGCACCCCTCTGACTTGGAGAGTAGGTGAGTGGTGATGGATGGAGCCCGTGAATGTACGGTTGCCAAGGAGACACTTATTTTATTTTATTTTTTTACTTCAGAGCTGAAATTCACATAATTGTTAATATGTGAGCTAACAGTCAATTCTGTCCCTTCTGACTTAGAAAGTCACTAAATTGCTGGGAGCGTTTACCACTGAGCACACTGTTATTGTACTTGCACAGGCTCGGTTAGAGCCGTTCAAAACACCCCTCCCAGCCCCTGCATCGCGTCCCTGTCCCTGTCCCTGTCCCCACGTGTTTGTCCAGGCTGCTGGCTGTCACTAGGCCTTCACACCTGGGCCACGCTGGTTCACACAGGCGAGGGCCGAGCCCCTCACTGCTGCAGTCTCTCCTGTTGTTCCCTGTCCAGGGCTCGGTCCTTGACCATGCCTCTCACTTAGGTGTGACCTTGCGGGAGCTGCTTAGCCTGGGCCTCAGTTTCCCCACCGCTAAAGTGTGTGTGTGTGGGAGGGGTTGAAGCAGCCCTCTAAGGCTCCTCCAGCTTTGCTTTCATCCCCAGGGGTCCTGTGGGTCTGCCCTTTGCCCTGTGGGTCCTTCCTTTTGTCCCCATTACTCCTCACTCGCCCTCCTCTTCCCCTTCCTACCCACTGCTGCCCTCCTGATCTCTACTGTGCGTATTCCGTTCCTGCCCCGCCTCTGCCTGTCCCCTGGCCAGCCCGATCTCCTTTATTCCTCCTCTGCTCAGTCCCTTCCCTGGAGTCCAGCCTTCTCCTGGAACTTTGTCTCCAGGCCCACTCCCTCCCCAGGACAGGTTCCTCCACATTTCTTAGCTCAGAGTAGCTGCCCATTCCCTGTCTGTCAGAAGTCCCCCTCATCACTCACCTAAACGGAGGATGTGGATCAGGGCATGGAGCCTGGTCCTCTGCCACCCTGCACATCTTTGTTAAAAGGTAGATGCAATTTGGAAGACTCAGTGTTAATATGCAGATTCTGTGACTCACAATCATGATTTTACTGCCTTAGGTGTATATGTTCTTTATGTCATAAAGAACAGTGGTATTTATTTCCACTCAGAGGAATAATCTGTTCGTTAAAAGAAAAATCAAGAAACTCAGAAAAAGTATGAAGAGAAGGTCAAAGTTGCTGGCAATCTTCTCTCCTCCTGATGACCACCGTTGATATCTAAGGGTTGAGCACACATCAAGGCTCTCAGGAGGTGCCCAGAACCTGTGGGGCCGTGATGGGGATGGGCGACAGATAAAACTAACATGAGGAACAATACCACTCAGGGGATTTCAGGAGGCAGGACCAAGGTGTTTGCAAGAATCTGTCTTGGTACTGTCTGGCTTGTTGTTTAACTTAAACCAGAATTTCCTTTTTTTTTAGGGTGGGGGAGGTCACTATTAGGTTGTAATCTAGAAATAATCAGAGGTAACCTCATTATTATATAAAGTCTGTGTGTTGCTTCCCATATTGTACTGGAGACAGTTTTGCTCCTGGGGCATAGATTTTATGTGGCTTATTTTCCATTTAGAGTCCACAAAGAGTATTTTTTTTTTCACACTCAATTTAAATGCAACTTGAAATAGATGCCCTTTAAAGAATAGTCCTTAACTAAATTACATTGAATTATATAATTTATGTATTTTTATAATACACGTGTACTGTACATTCTGTTTTTAAAGTATAAAACAGATTAATACACTGTTTATCCAATTTTAGTGATTCAGAAAGAATGAACTCTGTCTGCATTCGTTATGTTGTTCTATTACCACGTGTGGTTACATAATTGATGTGGTGCTATGAGAAGTGAATAGACTGGATCACAGCAAGGACAGAAGGCCGAAGTGCCTTGTTCTCTGCAGTCAACTTGAATGTCTTCCAAATTTATGTTCTAGTTGATAGATGATGAGTGGAATCTATTTTGCAGAAATATTAGAGACAATTGCACCCTTAAAATAGAATGCATTGTTTGTCCTGCCTCAAGTGTTGATTTCCTGGTTCTGACGGTGCATGGAATCTGTCCTTGGTACCTTGGGAAATGGGCCCTTGTGTTTATGGCCAAGGGCACGGGCCTTGCTTGGTGGGATTTTAATTGCTGTGTATTCTTTACTTTTGCAACCCCCAGGTTCTCTTATTCAAGTACCTTCCGTTGAGAGAGGGAAACTTAGTAAAGTTCGCCTGGGTTCACTGTCTTTGAAAAAGGAAGGAGAGAGACAGTGCTTCCTATTTACAAAACACTTTTTAATTTGTACGAGAAGCTCAGGAGGAAAGCTGCACCTGCTGAAGGTATGGGTCTCCCTTGCTGTCCATGAATGTCCCTGCTCATAGGAGGGACCAAGGGCCGTTCCACTGTGACTGTCCCACACTGCTGTCCTAAACCAGATTGTCACAGTTGCTTAAAGGGGGAGTAATACACAGTGAGAAGCCCATTTATGTTGATTTTGTTGCTATCTGGATTCAAAGTTATAGATATTTATTTTAACAATGTGTTGTCCTAAGGTGGTATAATTAAAATCATAGCCCAGGCAAAATTATTTCTAACTGACAACTGCTGAGCTGTAAAATCTTGGCAAATCACTGTGGTGTAGTGACATAATATTTGTTCACTGCTGTTTTATCTAGAGCCCTACAGCTTGCTGCCTGTTTTGTTAATAAAGTTTTATTGGTACATGACCACACTCATTTGTTTACATATTGCCTGTGTCTGCTTTCGCAGCAAATGACAGATTTGCCTAATTGTAGGAATGATATGGCTTGCAAAGCCTAAAGTATTTACTCTCTGGCCCATTTACAGGAAACATTGGGCTGTCTATTCCTGCTGTTATGATTGTTCGAAAGTACAAAGCTGTGATGAAGTTTTTCACTGTGTGAACCATTTCCTGGCTGGCAAATCCACTGTGGTGCCATCTAATCTCCCATGGGTGAAGTCACCAAATTTTATAGACATCAGGAGCAGGCTGGGGTGGAGGAGAGAGTTTAATTGATGTTGAGTGAATTCAATTTATTTGGCACACCCAAGTTTCACTGTGGACTCTGAGACATTATTTATGGTGCAGAATTACCATGCTTTTGTCTGTGGCCACTGAAATACAGGTTTTGAGAGTCAGAGCTTTGCAACCAGCCCAGCCTTCAGCCTCTTATGGATGAATCGCTCTGTTTCCAGACAGGTGGGGTTCTCTCGCTCATAGAGTGCACGCTGATCGAGGAGCCAGACGCAAGCGATGATGACTGTGAGCCACTTTCTGTCACCAACTGTCAGGGTGGGATAAAAAATAAAGTTCCATGGTTTTTAATCTTTTGTAGTGAAGTGCTGCCAAGGGCGGCAGGAGAGATGTTGAGGATAGCCCCTGTCTTGGTTACTTTTCTCTTGTTGCTGAGACAAATACCTGACACCTAGAATTAAGGAAGGAAAGGTTTATTTAGCTCACAGCTTGTGGAGGTTTCAGTCCATACTCAACTGGGTCCAAGGCAGGGTGGCACATGGCAGAGGGCAATTGTTCCTGGTGGTGGAAAACAGCAGAGCAACAAGAGCAAAAGGGAGGAGCAGCAGCAAGCAGTCTCTTCCCCTCTTGTACATTGTATGCAAGCTACCCGCTCCAGGGCAGATGTAGCACTCACACCCTTAATCCCAACCCTGGACTGACCATGAATCAATCATAAACTCCAGAAGCCCGCCCCATGACTGCATGAGGCTTTGGGGGACATCCAGACACAAACTATAACATTCCACACATGCTCCCCAAAGACTCATGTACTTCCCTTTATGCAAAAGACGTTTTAGTCCATCTCTAAGAGTTGCCAGAGTCCTAACAGTTGCAGCACTGCTGAAAGGTCGAAGTCCCAAGTCTCCTCCGAGATGTATAGCAAACTCTCAGCTGTAAGCCCCTGTACAAATGAAAAGTTACACACTTCCAACATTCAGTGGCAAGAGGTAAACATCCAAAAAGGCACAAACAGGAGGATACAGAGCATTGAGACCAAAGCAAGTCCAACATCCAGCAGGGCAAACATTATGTCCTGTAGTTCTGTGTGGAACATCCAAAGCAATCTGTGGCCGATTGTGAGCTCCATATGTCTCCACCACTTTGGCACTGCTGGTGGCTGTAGTTCCCATGGCTTCTCTCTTGGGCCTGCTTTGCTCCTTCTTTGCAGCTTTCCTCAGAGAATCTACATTCCTGGCTTTTTCAACCTTCTGAGTCTCCACTGCACTTTAGGCTTCAAGGGAACACTGCCTGGCCTCCCAGGCCTTCTGAAGTCAAGGTGGAAGTCTTTTTAACCTCAGAACTCTTTCATTCTGCATGTACCTAAAACCAGGACCACGTGGATAATGCCAAGGTTTGCTGCCAGCTGGAGCAGTAGCCAGGCCTTCCTCTCTCATGGATGTAGCAGTTGAGTGCCTGGATCACTGAGAACTCTGAATCCATTTCTGACAACAAATTCTCTATACTTCTGCCATTGTGGAACCTGGTGTGACCACTGTCACCATTCTGGAACATGGTGCTCTGTGGTTTTTTTTCCTCAAAGCAAAGGCTTTCACTTTTGCAGTTTTGAGGCTGCAAAGGGTGGAGACTTGCTGTTTCTTGTGAAACCCTCAGGCCATCTTTTCTACTTTCCTGTTCCTTCTCAGCAAAGGAGATCTCCTAAGCTCTATCTTTACAGTCCACAGCTTTACTGGAGCTTCCTTTCTGATGAAACTCACAACATTTTAAATCATCCTGCTGGGCTCTCTGCTCTTGATTCTCAACATAAATCTGGCTAAAAGCCCGCAACAATAGCCATGCCACTGCCTCGACTTTCAACTGCCTTGAAATTTCTTCTGCCAGATTAATTAGTCCACCACACTTAATCTTAGTCTCAGGCAAAGTCTCTGGACATGAGCAAAATGCAGACAAACTTTCTGCCAATCCATAACATACATCATCTGGGATGCAGCACCCAATGCAGTCCTTCTTCCCAGCAGAAACCTTCCAAGCCTGGTCTTTACCAAGATTTCTATCAGACTTCAGTCTTCTGAGCTCTGACCAGAGTCTCCCACACAGAACAGCCAAAGGCGTTCTGGTGCTTCTCTTTCAGGCAAAATCTCCAAACCTTTCCAGACACTTCCATCAAGCCACTTCCAAAGGCTCTTAAACCACACTGTCAGGTGTAGTCACAGCAACAACCTCCTCTCCTCTGGTACCAAATTCTGTCTGCATTACTCTTCTCTCATTGCTGAGACAAAATACATGACACCCAAAATTAAGGAAGGAAAGGTTTATTTAGCTCATAGTTTGTGGTGGTTTCAGTCCATACTCTGCTGGCTCCAACGCAGAAAGGCACATGGCAGAGGGCAATAGTTCATGGCAGCGGAAGACAGCAAAGCAACAAGAGCAAAAGGGAGGAGCAGCAGCAAGCAGCCTCTTTCCCTCCCTATGCAAGCTACCGGCCCCAGGGCAGATGTAGCACTCACACCCATAATGCCAGCTTTGGACCATGAATAAATCATAAACTCTAGAAGCCTGCCCCATGACTGCATGAAGCTTTGGGGGAACATCTGGACACAAATCATAACAGCCCCCTAATGGTTTGTCTAGCAAATCATTTAAGCTATGAGCTTTGTTAAGTGATCAGTGCTCTGAGCAGTCTCCTGAACTCATCACATGACAGTGACAGTTTAGTGGCAGGTGGGGAAGAAAGAGGAGTTGAATTAAGTATTGGATTATGGTCTGGGGATATAGTTCAGTGGTAGAATGCTTCGCCTTCCATGCAGGAAGCCCTGGGATCCAACCCAGCCCTGTAAGCCAAAAAAGTTGAATTTTATACATTCTGGAAATTAAAATAAATGTGAAATAGACTGGGGTTCTAGTCTTGAGTAATGTACTGGCTTCGGCTGCTTCATTTGCTACAAGTTTAATAAGACTTTGTGAAAGTTATGAAGATGTGTTGTGCACCAGCTCCCTGTAGTGAGTGTGATCATTGTACTGCAAGCATGTACTAATAAAAATAAAATTTAGAAAAGAATAAGGCCTTCCCCATGCCCAAGAAGCAGCATTACTGCCGACAGGAGGTTCTGGACTTGAGTGTGGGTGGACTGCTCTAGTGGAGCTCTAGTGTTGCTCATGCCTGCATTCATCTCTGATTGTTGGGTTTCTGTGCATTGCAGCCAAAGGTTCTGGGCACATGTTTGGACACCTGGACTTTAAGATAGTAGTGGAACCTCCCCATGCTGCACCCTTCACTGTGGTCCTGTTGGCACCTTCACGCCAAGAGAAGGCAGCCTGGATGAGTGACATCAGCCAGGTGAGTGGGAGCTTTGGCCATAATGTTTTCTAAAACTTCACAACATAAATGTTTGGTGGGAATTTTTAGCTCGAAATTTATACTTGAAAAAACTCGAAATTTATACTTGAAAAAACAAAATGTGGCATATACAGTGAACTAGTTAGCCACGAAGAAGGATAAACTTGAGTCATCGGTAGGCAGATGGACCTTGAGATCATAATGCTAAAGAAAATAAATCAGATACAGAAAGATTAGTATCACGTGGTTTCTCTGATATGAGAAAACCAAAATATAAACAATTTAAAGAGCAAAATGAAAGATGGTAAATCAAGGACATAGACTTTGGAGGTGGTAAGGGGACTTAAGAAGGGGAATAAAAATGATCAAGATGCAGTAAATATATGATGTACATGATTATTATATATCACAAACATATACTAACATAAAAAATCACATCTGCTTACCGGGTCACTGCCATTGCCATCATTTATCTTCATAGGTTGTCATTGTTGTTGTTATTGTTTTCTTAAGGTTAACATTTAACTGAAATGTATTAATTGCATTTTAGTTCTTGGGCATTTTGTGACCACTGCAGATAGCACAATTGCATCAGACAGGATTGAAATTATCCTGTTGCTGGTAAATTCTCAAATGACTCTGCTGGATTTTTTAATGATTTGTTTCTAAAGTAGGAAAGTAATGAGTGATAAGAGAAAAAGAAAGAAAGAAAAAGAAAGGAAGGAAGAAAGAAAGAAAAAGAGGCAGCTAGCTAGAGCTGTAGTGAGAGATCATGCACTAAGGAAGGAAAAGAGATACTGTCTGTAGTATAAAATCTGAACATGAGCTCCGTAGAGGAAATATCAGGGGTCAGAGTTGCTCACCTTTCCTGGACCAGCCCCGCCAGCTCAGGAATGCTGCATCCACTCACACAGTGCTACATTTGGAAATGTGCCCTGACCAGATCTGAGCTTCTTGGATTCAAACTTCACGTGAGTGTCGTCTCCCCTTGCTAATATGGGGGCAAAATGAGCCTGTGTAAGGAAAATATTAAAATACATGCAGTAGCTCATACCTGTAGTCACAGATGCTCCGGAGGCTGAGGTGGGAGAATCACTTGAGCCCAGAAGTTGAGGCCAGCCAGGGGAACATAGTGAGTCCCTATTGCAAAAGCTGAAATCAAGTCTTAAGTTACCAGCTGTTTTAGTTATGTTCTTCTGGGTGGGATAAAATATCCAAAACCCACCTCTTGAAAAGAAGTTCATTTTAGCTCATGTTTTTTGTCTGTCATTGTCTGGCTCTGTTATGATTAATACATTGTGTCAATCTGAGAAGTCTAGAAGTTGAAGCAACTCAGCAGGGGGCAAGGGTCCTCACTTTGTAAACATCCTCATCCCTGTGCAAGAGGAGGGCATGGGGATACTGTGAGTGCTACACCTGCCCTAGGGGTGGGGTAGCATGCATACAATATAAGGGAGGAAAAGAGGCTTGCTTCTCCCCTTTTTGTGCTTGCTGCTTTTGCTGTCTTCTACCACCACAAACTGTTGCCCTTCTGCCATGCCACCCTTCCGTGGAGCCAGCTGATTATGGACTGAAACCTGCACAACCTGTGAGCTAAATAAACCCTTCCTTCCTTAATTCTGGGCATCAGGTATTTTGTCTCAGCAAGGAGAGAAAAGTAGCCATGACAGAAGTTGGTACCAGGAGTTGGGTCATTGCTGTGACTATACCTGACTGTGTGGTTCAAAAGCCTTTGGGAATGGCTTGTGGAAAGAGTTTAGAAAGGTTCAGAGATGTCGCCTAAAAGGGTAGAGCTGGAACGCCTTTGACTGTTCTGTATAGGAGATTCTGGTCAGAGATCAGAAGACCCAGAAGGCTGATAGAAATCCTGCCAGTAAAGACCAGGCTTGGGAGGTTTCTGCTGGGAAGAAGAACTGCATTGGGTGCTGGACTTCAGACGATGTGTATTATGGCTTGGCAGAAAGTTTGTCTGCATTTTGCTCATGTCCAGAGACTTTGCCTGAGACTAAAATTAAAGGCAGTGGACTAGTTAATCTGGCAGAAGAAATTTTAAGGCAGTTGAAAGTTGAGCCGGTGGCATGACTATTGAGGGCTTTTAGCCAGAATTATGTTGAGAATCAAGAGCAGAGAGCACAGAAAAATGATTTAAAATGTTGTGAGTTTGGCCAGAAAGGAAGCTTCAGTAAAGCTGTGGACTACAAAGATAGAGCTGAGGAGATCTTGATTGCTGAGAAGGAATAGGAATATATAAAAAATGGCCTGAGGGCATCACAAGAAGCAGCAAGTCTCTGCCTTTTGCAGTCTCCAAACTGCAAAAGTGAAAACCTTTTCTTTGAGGAGAAAGCTGCAGAGTGTCATGTTCCAGGATGGTGGTGGCCACACCAGGTTCCAGAATGGCAGCAGCATAGAGAATTTGTTCTCAGAAGTGGATTTGGAGTGCCCAGGGATCTAGGAACCTGACCCCTACAGCAAAGAGAGAGGAAAGCCTGGCTACTCTTCTAGCTGGCAGCAGACCTTGGCATTATCCATGTGGTGCTGGTTTTAAGTACATACAGAACGCAAGAATTGTGGTGTGAAGAAGGTGTCCATCTTGATTTCAGAAGGCCTGGGAAGCCAGGCAGTGTGCCCCTGAGAGGGCAGTGTATGAAACTGTGAGTGTGAAGCCAAAGGTGCTGTGGAGACCCCAGAAGTTTGAAAAAGCCAGAAATGTGGATTGTCTAAGGAAAGCTGCAAGGAAGGAGCAAAGTGGGCCCATGAGAGCAGCCATGGGAGCTACAATCACTAGAAGTGCCAGTGGGGTGGAACTATCCAAGCTCCATATGGAGCTCACAACTTACCACAGATGGTTTTAGATGTTGCACAGGGAACTACAAGACTTAATGTTTCCCTTGCTGGATTTTGGTCTTGCTTTGGTCCCATTGCTTTGTATCCCCTTTTGTAACTTTTGGGAGGAAAATGTTTATGTTGTACCATTAAATGTTGGGTTTAGTTTTTCATTTGTACAGGGGCTTACAGCTAAGAGTTTGCCTTACAGCTCAGAGGAGACTTGGGACTTGGACTTTTCAGCAGTGCTGGAACTGTTAGGTCTTTGATAACTCTTACAGGTGGACTAAGTGCTTTTTGCATAAGCGGATGTGCATGAGTCTTTGGGGAGCCAGGGGTGGAATGTCATGGTTCTAATGTAATATAATGTTGGTGGACTTAGTGCTGGTTCTTGAGGATTGTTAAACCTGTGCTATAATGTTCAAGTTGTGAAATGATAAGGATAAACATGTCTTTGTATCTGGAGACCAGTTTAAAGAAATGTGTCTGGTTGCCAAGTTGACAAGGGGTGGATTGTAATGGTTGATATATTGTGTCAATTTGGGAAGTTTAAAACTTTAACTCAGCAACTCAGCAGGGGCCAGCGTCCTCACTTTGTAAATATCCTCCTCTTGCACAAGATGGCACGAGATGGTGTGAGTGCTACACCCGCCCTAGGGCAGGTAGCCTGCTTACAATATAAGGGAGGAAAAGAGGCTTGCTGTCCCCTCTTTTTGCTCTTGCTGCTTTTGCTGTCTTCTGCCAACTTGAACTGTTGCCCCTGCTCCATGATACCCTGCCTTGGAACCAGCTGAGTATAGACTAAAATCTCTACAAACTGTGAGCTAAATAAACCTTCTCCTTCCTTAATTTTCAGCCTGGGTTATTTTGTCTTAGCAATGAGAGAAAAGGAACCAAGATAGGCTCCAAGGCTGGAAGAGCACAGTGGGAGGGTTTGGCAGACAAGAGTGGCTCATGTCATGGCAGCCAGGAAGCAGAGAGCAAAGGGAGGATCCAGGGGAGACATGCACCCTTCCAGGTCACACCCTCGGTGGCCCACCTCCAACCAGGCCCCACCTCGTAGCAGCACACTACTCAGCTTATCCATGGGTAAATCCTATGATGAATACAGCACCTTCATTATCCAACCACCTTCCAAAATCCCCATCTCTGAGTCCATGAGAGCTTGGGGAACATCGTAGAGCCACACCTTAATAATGTCTTAATAATGTTGTTGCCTCAGGACATTTGGGACAACTGGAAAAAGGTAGATATTGTGGATTTCCTTTCCTTTCTTCTTTTTTTTTGGAAGAAGGCTCATAGTCATAAGCCTTAAGTGGAGACATGTGCTCTATCACAGTTCTTCAGGTAGTTTTCTTGTTTGAGAGATTGAAAATTGAGGGGAAAATAGAGAATGAATGGCAATAATAATCATTCTTGTTTGTTAAGGGAGTTTTACAGGCTCAGTCTTATTTAACCCTTACATCATCATATTCTGAAGGCAGAGAGATGATCTTCTAGTCCCATGCACAGGCGAGAACCCAAGGTCTTGAAAGCGAGGCATTTGCTAAAAGTTACCCAGCTACTCTGAGCCAGGACTGCCATCTAATCCAGGTCTTCTTTTTAGTTGTGTGTAAGAGTGCCATATGCAGAACTTTCACTTACATAACCCAAGGACTGCTTTGATGGTGAATAAATAGCTGGCTGAAAAAGGAGTGGAAGTGCGGGCTCTTTCATAATTCTTTGCACATACTTGCCTCTTCATGGTGACTTATCAGCAATATTTCCTTTAGCTCTGTGCCACATCAGTGGATGCCTACAAGTGCTGGGCCCTGCATCAATTCTCTCAAAGTGTATTAAGACCTCACACAGCTGCTGGGTTTGTGCAGGTGTGGGGCTGGTTCCTATTCCCAAGGAGATGAGCTGGCTTGCAGGGAGGAAGAGAGGAGGCAGCTCTGTGGAACAAGATTTGTAGGTATTGTGAAGCCAAGACACGCAGGAAGGACAGGCAGAGGAGGAGTAGGCAAAGGTGTTTGGCCAGCTGCCGCTCTCTCCTGCTTGGGATGTTGCTGAGGCTTCTAAGATTCGGAGTTGGCAGAGCCCCTGTGATCTCCCCCAGGCTTCCTGGTGGGTATGGCTGAGAGAAAGACCCCCAGAGTGCATGCGTGACTAGGCTGGTCTTTGAAAGACAGAGGGGA